CTGTTTTTGATTCTGCTTGACAAAAAACCAGTCTGTTAGTTGTTAGGATTTCTGGGGACAGACTGACCATGGCAGAGACAGTAGGGGATGCTGCAATTTTTGTGATGTAAAATGATGAGAGCTCAGCTAAATCTCCTGGTATGTCAGCTGAGAGAACGTGTGTAACACTTCAAAGCAACTGCAACAGTGTTCACAATTTTCTTCTGCTGGGCTGTTGGCAGGACGATGTGAGTGTCGTCTGAGCAGCAAATGAAAAAATCGGTCTCCTTGTGCCCAGGTGTCTTTGCAAGAGACTGACCAGAACATACCCCCACCCAGTGGCTTCTGGCTCAGTCCTGCTCTTGCGTCTCTTGGTCCCGAGTCACATGCAAAAGAAAAGAAAAAAGGTTTCATGCCAAAATTTAGCTGCATCCTTCAGGCAGGTGGTCATGCCACTGTCAGGTTTGTATGCTTGTTTCTCCACTTGCTTTGCCTTTAATTAGCTGATAAAATTTCTTCATGCTGTCCTTTATGCATCATGACATGGCATCCTTGTTTGTGGACCTGTGTGACCGGTGTTATGGTGATCTTCCAGAACTGACATAGGCCTAGTACTTGAACACCAGGACTTCCCACAGTGTCTCAGACAGTGGGAAGATCTGGGACATGTGCACAGAAGTATTTGGCTACTTTATAGTCAGATTGGCTGGGTGGAGCAGGGCACAGAGCACCGTATAAAAGCAGCTGGACTCTTGGTGACCATGCTCTGTAGCCAATGTGCAAACATCCAAAGGAACACTATAATGAAAAACCTTTTTTTGGTGTGAATTATCCAGAACAACTGATCCATTTCATTGATTATAAGAAATTGCTTTTCACAGACATGGCTTTTCTTTTACTAATGCACGTGTGTGTGTGTTTGAGCAGAGGACCTATGAATTGCCAGACTTTGCCCTTAGCCAAAGACCCCATTTATCTAGGGACATACTGCACTGGAACTGAGCTATGATTTTATGAAGTCAGCAGGGCATTTACTAAGGGTTAGAGATACTGTAGGGCCTTTGGTCCCTGTCAGTGCTGGCAGATGCTGTTCTGTGATGGCAGAATGGCTCTGCTGCTCCACATCCTCCCCAACACTGTCACTGCCATATCCAGCTCTGGTTGCTTTTGATATAAGAACTTTCATCTAAATTCTTTTATCTTAGGCAGGACAAGAATAATATAGCCCTTAATTTATAGTAAACACGAACCCATTTAAAATAAATCCCTCAATTTGTCTTACAAATAACATTTAAGTGCTTTTGAATTGAAGAGATGTTTGAAAAACCATTTCCTATCAGAGATGCTATTTGTTTCATTTTATGCAGTTCATTCATCTTAGTTGATTGGAGAAAAAAATAAAAACCAACTCCAGCTAGTGAGAGTAAACCCTGTCATAGTACTATGCTGCTGGAGATTTTGCAACATTTTTAATTTGGAGCCTACCTCCACACACATTATTTACAATAAGTATTACATCTTAATATGAAAGTAATTTTGGAGTTAGACGCTGTGCAGAATCTCAAGAAGATAATTCTGAATTGACTGGCATTTTTGTGTGCCCAATTTAAAATTTGTAACTGAACCTGATTTCTTTGGTCAGGGGGAATGCACCAATTTTCTCTGAAAAAAGTATCCAGTTGGACACTCGGGCCCCTAATGGCTATAGGGAACTTGGCCCACATGATTTATTTAAGAGACAATTATAAATATACATATGTATGTTTATGTAAGATGTATATAAACATCTGTGAAGTAGAAAGGCAACTAGTCTTATCCTTAAAAGCAAACAATAACACAGTCTTCCATGTACCACGTAACTGTGGAGTTGTGTAGTTTTATAAAGAAAACTTATGGTTGGTGAATTCCTTCATCTTAAGGTCACAGAGATTTATAATCTTAAATATTGCTGACTTGCTTAAAATGATTGCAGTTGCTCTCTTCTGGTTGATAGACCTCTTTTCAGAAGTTGTTCCTAAGATACTTCTTAATTCTCCATTCCAAGTAATATGCTGGATTAAAACCACTCCCTCTCTTCTTTGTCAAGCACCTTCTCTGCTTGTTTCATCCAGAATAATGCAGGAGGACCTGCACAGTTGTAGTTTATCCCTTCTTGCCATACAGAAAGGAAAAAACATTCCTTGGCCAAATCTTATCTGCTATTCTTTTATCACTTTATCAGTGAAAGGAATGGGAAAGTCAAATGACTAATCTCTTCAGCTATTAGCAACTTCTGTATTAAGTATCACTACAGTTCTTTCCTCCAACTATTCTGAGATAATTTCAGATTACTTCAGGCTTTGGCTAATATGTCTTCCATTTTTACTGAAATTAGAATGAAAAATATCATAGTCACTTTTTTAAAGCATGCCTAAAAGTGTTAGGAAAATCTTTCTAGCAGAACAGGCCTTACCAGCACCATCAAGAAGATCCTGGCTGTTGGAATTAGAATACTGGTGTCTGCTTTTGTCAAAGAACTGAAACACAGATTGGTATTGCTTGTGGTCACTGCAGCTACATGAAAAATACCATTGTACACACACTGTACATGGAAACAGAAATTCATTCAAACTCCAGATGGCATATTGATATATATGCACACAGTGCTACAGCCACACTGCCGCCCATAGCCTTCCCTACACACCAGCAAGCCCTATTTGGACCACATAAATTGATTCAAATTGAGACATGACCTGAGCATTAAGAGAGAACAGAACTGCTCTGGTGCTTTCAGGAGATTTTCCTCCCTCGGGAACATTGGCCATATCCATGTTTTGCCCTGCAAATACATACCTGCTCACTGGAACTCAATTCTTTGGCATGTGGGATCCAGCTCTCCTTGCCTGTCTCTTGAGCAGTACCTTCCTCACTGCTCCTGGACATAGAGAATGCTAGGTAGGTACAAGCCACTGTGTTTTCCTTGAAGGGTCCTTTCCATGAGAGGTGTGCAAAGGCTGGACAATGCATCAGGACTGAAGCTAAGCAGGTGTTGGGCCTGGCGCCTGATTTCCTGCAGGACAAGTGTAGCTGACAGGGAAGCATGGGGAGTGCTTTCCTCAGTGCTCTTGTCTCTAGGGGCTCACCAAGGACCATCTGAGCCCATCCAAATCTCCTACCAAGACCCATTCATTGGCAAGGTGGGCATCTGAGACCCTAGAGTGACTACATGTCCTGAAGGCTGCAGTTGGCACTTCCACCTGGAGGGGGTCTGCTTTGTCACCCTCTCTGTCTTTTACTGGTTAAGGGCAGACTTTCCCTAGGACCGTTTTGCGGTGCTGAGGAGGGTAGGTGGGCATGCTCTGCTCAACCACCCAATGCTAAATCTAGGCATGGAAGAGGACAGAGTCGGATCTGTGACCACAGGGTGGATCACCGTGCTGGGGCGAGGCTGAGAGCCCCATGGCCAGCAAGGGTGCAGGCATCCATTGGCCAGGGCAGGACGAGGATGCAGATGCATGTTGCTTTCTGTTCAGGCTGATTTCACGTTGCTTAGCTTCCAAGGGGCTCTGAGAATAGCAATTAAAGCACCGAGCTTAATTGTGGAGTATCCAATTTGGATATTAGCATTATCTCTGCTCTCACTGCTTTCTTTTCGTTCAGATCTAATTCTGCTGCCTGCCTGCTGGCTGGGCGCCTGTTCCTTTCTTCTCATTATTACTATTTTATGGTTATTGTTAATGTATTTTTTTAAGCATTCCTTCTCTCCGTCGCTTCCAACCACCCGAGTCGCGGTC